GCTGAGATGAAAATGAAACAAGATATCGCAATGTTGAAAATAAAAAATCTGGAAAAGCAATAAATCAGAATGAAGAAAAATTCTTGAATAGGTTAAGAGCAAAAAAGGGTTCTTAAGACAATAATAATGATGATATCATTTGAAAGCTCTTGTGCTACTCAGTATGCTCCCGAAAACAACAAAAATAAATATGTTTCCTTTGGGAGTCGTTTTAAGACCATTTTCATCATTTAATCTAAATCTAAACAAAAGCAGGGGAATATAAAAACATGTTGAGAGTCATACAAGAGCTTTAAAAACATGTATACAATGTCCACTTAACCCAGTCCCAACTGCCTAGTAAAAATAATTAATTTTTAATATTTTTAGGAATATATTTAATTTAGGAATTAGGAATAATTTAGGAATATATTGAGTAGCTCACGAGATTTCAGCTGGTGTATTACTTTCCATAATATAGTTTTATAAAATGACCCCCGTCTGATATATTTGATGATTAAACCAATAAAAGTTCATAAAAACAATGTACAGGTGCAAGTGCCTTATTTCAGTTATCCAAAAATGTATTTACTTAAGTGTTATAGTTCAGAAATTAATTCGAAAGGAGGGACAGACTCTAGACACAGGGTACATACGAGAATTGTTCAATATACGTAATTAATTAAACTCTGAAATGACCCGTATTCTAAGAAACCTGGAGTGCCACTCAGTAAAATCATTTATTATTATGTATAAAGTATTTCCCCCTATAAAGTACCGAAATTGCTCCAAAGGATAAGCAGCGAATAAGAGAAGGTGAAACAGTAGACATAATATAAATCTAAAATAACAGTGACTACATAATTTTAGCCAAAGAATTGGAAAAAATGCTCGACAAAACTAAAAGAATTCTCGTATAATAAATCGAACAATGATAAATGAGGACTTAACATCATTAACAAACTATGTACAACAACTGAGCCATATTTAAAAGGAACAATTCTCATATATTACAAAAGCCAATAACCTGGCTATAACTATAATTATTAACAAATGAACACTATGTACAGGTCATCCAAAAAACTCTATAGAGATTCTTAAAAATTAGCGTTTTTTGATTAAGAATATATCACATTAGTTTTAAATAGAAGTTTTGGTAATACAGAAATTATACAAAAATATCTAAAGAGGTTTATGGATCATAAAACTTTAAACACTCACAAAAGAAGTTTCTATTTTTTAATTTTTGTCATGATTTTTTTCTTGAAAAAAAAAAAAAAGAACAAAGACACAATTTGTGAAACAGATATTCGTCTATATTTTAATTATTAATAAATTTGATGGTACTAATTCGTATAAGATAGGATTGGATATACAGTGTGTCCCATTAAGTCCGCACCATATGGGATTTTTTTTTATTTTTCATCATCACCTTCATGCTACAGCCCTTAGAGGGCCTCGACCTTCTCAAGCTTTCTACGCCATTCTGTTCTGTCCCTTGCTTGCATTTTCCATTTGCCGACTCCGATCTTCTCGGCATCTTGTGATACCCCGTCCATCAACCTCAGCTTTGGTCTACCCCGTCGTCTCCCAACAGGTTGCGCTGTTAGAATCTTTTTTATCATGTTCGATTCAGGGGCCCGGGCTACATGTCCTACCCACTGCAGGCGGTTTCCCTTTAAAACAGATATTACTACCGTCCTTTTAAAAGGCAGTGTAAATTATGCGTAATTTAGGTTAGTACAGCTACCAACTGATAGATGGCTCTAGATGGAGTGTTTTCAAGAGCCAGCATTCGACAAGTTTCAACGATTTTAGTGCGCGCACATGCTGTAATTGTGAGGTTATCGGTGTAAATTGCCAGATTTTGGACTACAAAATGGATGCTTATAATTGGAGGTAAGTCTAGAATTAAAAAACTGTTATTTCACGGCATTGGCATGTGGATTATTGTATAATAGGGACTTATGTACGTATATTCTTGGCTCGAATAGTTGTCACGTTGTTTCAAAGGCTCGCCGCTTGGGATTTCATTTTACTACTACCAACGTGCGTATTGTTTCAGGAGGCCTCTCAAATTGCATGAGCTATTAGAAGAGCTTGATTCTGATGAAATCCCAGTCCCTCCAGATGGTTTGATCATATTTCCCCCAGAAAATGCCAATGATGATGTCACCGATTGCGACTCCGGCGATGAAGAACTAACTACAATAAATAATTTACCGGGTAGTCAGATGAGAAACGATGTAGAACTTGTTTTTGACAACGTGACTGAATTACCACAAGATTCTGTGAATTCCAGCCTACCAGAAGATGATTCGGATGATGACAATATACCATTGGCTTTGTTTCTTTCCAAGGAAAAGCTGCCCCATCAATTAGAGAAGAGAATATCTGCACACTGGATTCAAGGAGACTTGTATCAACACCCTGATTGTACTTACTGGAAAACTCAATTTGGACCGAAAATGACTCAGTCGCCGATGGAAATTTTCAATTTGTTTTTTGATGATGAAGTCATCAATTTGGTTACCGAATACACTAACATCTACGCAGGACAAAGAAATCTTTTGAACGACATTACTCAAAATGAGATTCGATGTTTTATAGGCGTTCTTGTATTGAGTGGTTATGTGGTTGTGCCGAAAAGGTACATGTACTGGGAAAATCGTGACGATTCGCACAACGCAATGGTGGTAGCTGCTATATCTAGGAATAGATTTTCCCACATAATGAAAGTTTTGCATGTTTGCAATAACTTGTCATTAGATAAGGTGACCAAGGTAATTCCACTACAATACCTGAACAATATAAAGTCCTTGGATTGGGTGCATCAGTAGTTCTATCCTATGCAGACAGGTTGAATGAAGTATGGCCTCAAAGGCGATTTCATCTTATTTTTGATAATTATTTTACTTCTATTCATTTACTGCATGAGCTAAAACAAAGAGGCATATTTGGTACAGACACTGTAAGGGAAAATCGCACCATGAAATGCCCTTTACCCTGTTCATCTATTATGAAAAAAACTGAACGTGGTAAATACGAGTATCGTCTTGATAAAAATACAGGAATAGTGGTTTTTGCCATTTACAATTTTGTACCAGTAATGCCTTGCTTCTCTGTAAAGAGATTTTCACAAGCAGAGAAAAAACATATTCAAGTTCCTCAACCAAATATTGTTAGAATATACAATAACTTCATGGGTGGCGTTGATCGCAGTGACCAGAACATCAGTTTATATCGAGTGTCCATAAGAGGAAAGAAATGGTATTTTCCCCTTTTTGCTCATTGCGTTGATATGGCTATTCAAAATGCGTGGCAGATTCACAAAACTCAAGACGGTAAACTGGATCAACTTGAATTTAGAAGATCTGTTGCAACTAATATTTTGGAAACTTTTAAAAAAGAAACAAAACGCGGACCTTCTAAGCGAAATTCGAATTCGGTAGCCAATTCAAGATATGACGGTATTAACCACTTGGTTCTTTATCAAGAAAAGCAATCGCGATGTGGATATTGTCACAAAAAAGTCCAGTTTTTGTGTGAAAAGTGCAAAATACCTTTACATCCAAAATTTTATTTTAAATCCTTTCATTCTTTGTAAATTGATACTAATAAAATATATATGATATCTGGTACCGTATATTACTACCGTCATTTTAAAAGAACATGTCAAAACTTGACAGGTATCGTCATAAAAAAATATATGATAGTGTTTTTCGGTTCCATATGCTATAATTTCCATGAAAATTCGAAATTAATTCAAAATGTTAACAATAAAAGTTTCAGTAATATCTGGGTTAATGATAATGGTAATATCTTTACCACCAAATGTATGCTTGTAGATATTCTGCTGTTCAAAGTTATATCTACGTCTCCATATTCCGTTCTCACAGACCGCTCCGAATATCTTGCGTAGCACCTTTCTTTCAAAAATCGATAGAGTGGATTCATCTGTTTTAGTTAGCGTCCATGCCTCTGATCTATATGTGAGAACTGGGCCTATCAGTGTTCTATACAGTCTTATACGAGTTTTTTGAGACAGACGTTTGTTAGCTAAGTACTTTGATAGACCATGATAACACCTTTTTTTATTTTTAGTTTTACGAAAAAAAGTTAGTCTTTATACAAAGTTCTGTATGTTCTAAAACGTAAAATACAATCACCAAATATCAAATTTTTTCAATCATATACGAGGTTTTTTAAAAAGTATGAACATAGAATTCATATTTTTTAACAAACCCCATTTATGACAAAAAATTCTAGGTTTTAGATCATTCAGAAATTTTTATAAAGAATAACTTTTTTTCATAAAACGAAAAATAAAAAAAAAAGTTTTCCATATGGTGCTGACTTAATTAGATACACTGTATAAAGATCATGTCCACCCAATTTTTTTTAAGATAACGAGGCACAGCTTTGAGATGTCTATTTTGAAATCTAAAAAAACTATAAAAAATTGGGACCCTGTGATTATAGAAAAGTGTTTCGTGGTTTCATTCTGATTTAAACCAGTATCTTCCAAAAATATTCGACTTTTCTTTAAAATTTATCGGCAAATCTTTTCAGCAGCTCTCTGTACTCTGTGGCAACCGTTTTTAGACGAACAGGGAGTAATTTACTTATCACAATAATGCGCCAGTACATTCATAGAACCAGGTGCAACAGTTTTTGGTAAAACACAAGGCACTGATTTTTGATGAAGAAACATTTTGTTGAATCGAATGAAGATTAATTTGGAGGATATTACAAACTTAATGACGAAAAAAAAAAGTATCGTAGAGTTGTGAACGAAAATCAAATACTTTTGGAATATACCTGGTATAACTGACACTTTTTATCTGCTGTTGTTAAATATTTAAAAAGTCTTTTTCCCAAATGTGTCTTTGTTGATAAATAATTATATAATTTGTCAGTCTTCAAATACTTATATCAAACTATATAATTGTGTACGAAACGGACGAATCAATTTGTAGGACGTTTTGGATTCTAATGATTAAAAACATCTTAAGCGTGTGTCATAACTCGCATTCTGTAGGAATTGGAGTTGGCGGCCTTGTCAAAGGTTTCTTGCTTCCAGGTAGTACCCAAGATAATCCCAGCTTTGACGTTTGTTCTTGGACCTCATTGTTGATCATCATGGCTTTCACCTTAAAAGTATTAAGTACAAAAATTAAATCAGGAAATTCCTTAAACTAAGATTTCATACACACACACACACACACACACACACACACACACACACACACACACACACACACACATATATATATATATATATATATATATATATATATATATATGCAAAGAGCAAATTAAAAATTAATAAATAGACCATTTAAATAAATTTTCAAGACCTCCTGGCAAACAAAATTTATGTATTAGATTAAGATAAGATTAGATTAATAGAAAGTTTTGCCTGTCAACAACTGATTTTTAAACATTCGCAGGTAAAATCTTTTTATATAAAATTAGAAAGCCCATACTCATTATGATCTTTTTATTGTTTTTATATGACCTAGGATTAATATATTGTAATTAATCTTTTGGTATAGGAATGAATTATGTATTTGTAACCAAAGGGAAAGCCAGTTTTAAAACAAAAATTTTAGTTTCTCCGGAAACAGTAATGGGGTTTTTCTTAATGATTGTAAACAAAATAAAGCTTTTTGATTGGACAGTTTCTTTTTAATAGGAGAATTGATAGTCGATGTATGAGAGAAAGTGACAGTTGTCATTTGATCATCGAAAGGAAAGGTCACGTCTCGATAGAGGGTGTGTTCGTGAGTTTGGATACCGGAATTGTGAACGGAAGTTAGCAGAATTGTGAAAGGAGATTACAAGTCGATAAAAAGATATCCTTGGATCTAAAGTGGGCAGTTTCTGGAATACGTAAGAAATAGTTTGGCGGCACCAAGTTGACAGAAAGAAGTACTTGTGTCATTGAGAAGTAGTTGAGTATTTGGAGAATTAAATTTCATGTCTTAAATGTTGGAGAATTGAGTCAGGTGCTTCGTATAGTCGCTGCAGGAGGATTGCAGATACGAAAAGAAGAAGGCCGAGGCGAATAGTGGCAGATCACATTGCTGTGGAGCGTGGGCGATTCTGGGTATGGTCCAAATACAATCTACGAAGGAAAGGTCAGTGATTTTCTGTTCAGAATTGAAAATTTTGTAACTGTGAATGAGTTTTGTCGACATAAATATTGAAAAATCAGAAATATAAAGAGTTTTAAAGATATTCATTGAAATTGGCTTTCAGAAAGACTTAAAATATTCTTTTTGTGTAAATTTTATTGTATTAATTTACGCTGATTGAAATGATAACGGCAAAATTTGGTAATTGTTTTATTCTTCTTTAAATAAAATAAAGAATACCAATTTTTTGTAACATACTATTTTTATTATTATCCTTTTTTCTCTATCCCGATAAAGGACAACTAGGAAATCTTTGAACCCACACAACATAGGTTATTATAAGATTTTTCACCCTGAAAACAGTATATGTTTTTGATTTGCTCAATTAATCAAGTAAAAAAAGTAATAACATAACAATATATATTTCTATGAAGAGCTTTTATACAAAACTGCATAAATCCATTTCCGGCTAAAATACATTTTTTGTTGAATTTCGAGAGTTTGGTCTGCCTTAGATCTTGTGTATAAGTCTCATGTCTTAAAAGTTAATATTTCCCATTTAAAATGAGCCTAACAATCACGTTTCTTTCACAAAACTAAATTAATCCACTCAAAAACCTTTACCCCATGTTCACTCTTTTGTTAAACAAAACTTTACATCTTCTTCAGCTAATCATTAAAATCAGTTTTTGTTTTACAAAACTGCATAAATCCTCCGGCCTGCAGAACTATCTCTCTACTATTTTTGTTTGGTTTTAAAAGCATCCTCTAGAATTAGATGTTGATTTGTGAAACAAAATATAATATCCGTTAGTTCTAAAACTACTCACGGGTCGCACTGACAGTGTGTAGCTTTGCCACGCTGTATGAGATTATCAGTACTCTTCCGTTCGATGAGAAGGGATGTTTTGAATTCGTTGTGTGTCAACGTTGTTTCTGTGTTTTACGTGTTATTTTGAGATGGATAATATTGCTAATTTATCGGTGGGATCTAAAAAAAGGTGCCCATAATTCGAAAAATCTTCGTTGTGCTACGGTATCTTACAATGATATAAAAATTAATCGACAAGCAGTCTACTTGGCAGAGGGTAAAGAGAAACAATATCTTGTTTTGATGAAATATATCTCTGCTTTCGAGCCCCAAAGAAGAAGGGGAAGTGGTGCGCCTGTCTCTGTAACTCACTCAAGAACGGTTTCTGTGAAATTTTTTCTCAATAGTCAGCAACAGAAACGCATGATGCCTGTCTGTAAAAAGTTTTTTGCTTTCTCAATGGGTGTACCTGCCTCTCGACTACTGCGGATTGGAAAGGTCGTCAAGGCTCCGTAACGACCGCAACAGCTATGTGGAGGTCATTCCAAATTATTGTCGGAGGTTTTTTAACCACGAGATACGACGGCGTCCCCGTCCACTCTTGCCAAATACTTTACCCTGCATAAAGATTTGAAGAATTCGATATTTTTCTTCGTTCCGTAGTCCAAGCTTACGTAGTCCCATTGTGAGTTGAGAGTAGTTCTGAGGTTAGTGTATCTGTCGACTCTCTGTTTAGTTCGTATGTTACGCTCACAGTTCTCATTCGGTTTAGTAAGGCTTGTAGATTATTTAGGCTGGTTGCTAGTAACACAGTGTAATTGGCGTAGCGGATATTATTAATGTATTCACCGTTCACTCGGATTCCCATCTCTAGGTTTGTGAGGACTTCAGTAAAAATTTCCTTGCACAGCCTTGCTTTACTCCTCGCACGATCTTCACTTGATCGGTTAGCTGGTCTTCGACCCCGCTGATTTGACTTGACTTGAGCACGCTGGTTCTAGTATTAATTCATGATGATCCGAATGTCCTTCTCATCCAATCCTACTCTTTGTAGGGTGGCGACCATCTTCTGGTGCTGACAAAACATCACAACTGACATCGCGGCATCTCCGAAGCTGAAGTAGGACTTTTAAGGTGAAAAGTGCTTCACATGTACCCATGGAATTGTACATTTTCCAGGTCACCAACTTCTCCTTGACTGTCGTCGCCAGGTTCTTATACATTGGACCGAAATATTATCTATCGCACTAAAAGTAGTACTAGAAAAATAATAAAACAAAATATAGACATTCCTTACCTTGTCATGTACTTCGGGGTCATATGGTTCAAAAGTAATATAATGTTTATCATCTACAGCTGGCTCATCAAACAGATGCGATTTGCTCTCTTTAATCAGCTCAGCAGCTTTTTCTTTGAATTCTTGAAGATTGTTTTTATACCTGAAAATGTTATGACCAAAAAATTATAAAGATACAGAACAAAAACGCAAAGACGATATAATAACTAATCTACTTACATTTCTGCAGCTTCTGTATTAACAGCATGTTCAACACTTCTATCCATGTCTAGAAAGATCCAATGTATATATTTAACAACTTGCCAAACATGTTCCTCTAACTTAGACCACTGTGGAAAAGCTTTTAACAAGTTCAGTTCACCAGAATCAGCGTCTATCACAGGATGAAATATTTTTGTATGAAATATCACTTTCTAAAAGAAAAAAACAAGTAAATAATTGTTAATTTATTATTTTAAACAGAACATTAATCACTTTTTTACGGCACATGATATCTTCTCACTGTTTTCTATATGCATCAATAACTGTTAATTTTTTGGGCTAATCCTCAGTTTTAAATATTGTCTGACCATCGTTTTCTTGATCACTTCCCAAATTTGTTGAAGTTACACACGTCACATCTAATCTTGTTTAGCCCTGTTTGTTACGATATATACTGCTCTGTTAGTAAGGATATAATCTATTACTGAACATTGTCCTCTTGTATTCTCAAATTTGTACTTATGTTACAAATTGAATTGGTAATATATTCGAGAATGGTGATATATTCGTTCTTTATAACAATATTTTGAATTACTTTGGAGACAGGTTCTGTCCAGAACAACATGGTTTTTTTACCAGGGAAGTCCACTGTATCAAATTTTATATTGATTCAGAAGAATTCATGTTTAAGAAGACATATCTTTCTGATAGGTTAAATCAAGTTAAAGTGGGGAACAGTTTATCAAAGCCATTTAAGTCGACATCAGGTGTACCACAAGGTAGCAACTTGGGCCTTCTTCTGTTCGCTATATTTATTAACGATTTGCCTCACTGTATGAAATTTTCGAGAAGCCTGCTATTTGCAGATGATTTTAAGATTTTTCAGGAAATTTCAACTCTGAATGACTCTCAGATGCTGCAATGTGATCTGAACTTAGTAAATCAATGGTTCGATGATAACAAAATGTTGCCGTACTTATCTCTTGCTGTACTGTTCCACCATAGGCCGATCAGACACCAGCATATTCTGGTCTAAGCCGCAGATTCTTCTAGAATTTTAAACTGCTGCGTTAGCCTTTTTGTTTTCTGTACATCCACTGAACCACTCGCAGCAAAGCGAATGAGAACTAGTAGCCCAGCCCGCTTGGCTATCTGACCAACATGATACTACTGAATATAAATATATGATCTGTGACTGCTATTTGTCTTTTTCCATTCTGTTTCCTATACTGATTTATTACTACATGTGGCTATCGTCAGTATGTTTTTTGGTTTTCATTCATTGTTCATTTTCTTGTGTGTCTGGTATCATTAGGTTCCATCAAGTTCTGAAGATTTTTACAGGTATAATAAGCAATGATATTAAACAGTAAAACAAAATCCAAAATGGCATGTAAAAAATCTAAGACAACAAAACGTTTTCAGGAAATCATATGATAAAGGAGAGAATGAAGAACAAACTATAACCAACATGTAACAGAAATAAAGGATGATAAAATTGTCAAGATTGTAAGAGACAAAAGATCAGCAGGAAGGAGCCTAACTGGATAATCACCAAATAAAAAGCTGAACAGCTGTTAATAGGAATTTAAAATATTATCAAATATTTATAATCCGGTTAAAACTGTGGTTGTTAGGATATACCTAATAATATATTTATACAATAATAATAAATATATTTGTTATAAGGTTATAAAAGCTATTTAATACTTACAGGACGTCCAGAATCAGGAAATTCCTCATCCAAAAATATAGTAAACCTAAAAATACCCTCTTCGTAACATCCACTCCTTACAAATATTACTCCAAACCATACTAAAAACGAAATTTATGATTAGGAGATTCAAAAGACAATCTAGAAAATAATTATAGCTGGCCATGATTGATCAGTTGATTTAAATATAATAGCCTTAGGTCATATATACAAGTCCAAATGTCTACTACTGTTACATATGCAGCAGAATGAATTTTAAAACTTGCTTAATACTAAGGAATGTCAAAAGTTGTATAAAAATCTCATTTTGTTAAGAGTCTTGGTGAAATACTATTAACAAGAGACAAAATTTTGTTATATGTGATTGTATTTTTATTTGTTAATATTAAATAGCCATATAACTCTTTAATATATTATTTGAAACAATATTATCATTATCCTTGTTTTCAATTATTTGAACTTATGATAAAAGATTTATTTATTTATTTATCTATTATCAGTTTCAAAATCAAAGTTGGCAGTTTTCAATTAGTTTAAGGTTTTTTTTAAAGCAGAAAAGATTATATTATTTTTTTTTTACAGTATTTCATTATTATATCTCTCATAATTACATTCAGTGTAGATAATTTGCTGTTCTCAGTTTAAACACATCTATTTTTATTTTTAAAATCTATTTTGGTGTGAGAAAAGGGATTATGAAAAACTTTTATTGGTGTTTCCTATGTATTTCAAATTTCTGAAAGTGTTTCTACCAATTGTCTTTGTTATCTTTATCAAATAAAGTTCACAGGTTGTTCTTTAGCTTCTGAATATTTTCTAGGATAAGTATATTTCCTGTCTTTTTGGCATTTGTAATTCATATTTACGTCTATAATTGCTAGAGTTTGAAATATGGTTTTTCATCCCCATATATTTTTCCTTTATCTAGTGCTTCTGTGACAACTTTCTTGATCTATCATTATTAAATAGATACCAGCATAATAAAAACAAAATATACAACCATAGTATTATTACTGAAAACAGTCAGCGTGAAAAGAAGAAATTGTGACCTACATAAACAAACTAATTTTTCTCACCTAATGAAGACTCCTTAGAAGGTATAACATAAACACCGGGTATATTTTCATTTTGTACCATTTTACTAAAAGCAAACAAAGATAATGAATGTTATGTTTACTGGTCAAAATGGTTTAACTTACTATTCTGCTAAAATAACATATTCTTGTTTATATATTTTGTATAACTTTTGCACATCTTCATTCTGTTTGTCTCCCAAAGGATAAGAAATCGGTTCTGAAGGTATAACTCTTCTTGTCGATCCCTGTCTTTGAAAATTGCCATCCTAAAAATTTGTGTTGTTTTAAATTACCATAAATTTGGTTAAATCGTTTATTACCTTGGAGTGTGATGCGTGCATAATGTTAAATAATTATAATAATACATGGAAAATGACTGTCAAACAACTATCATTACTTCTATTTGGTTATATATAGATAATAAAAGATTAGATAATTAAATCAGTTTTGAGATCCTGGTAAACAAATTTAGAAATGTCAGATTGTCACATGTGCATACGTCACTGGAACAACTGTCACTGTCTCTTGAGTCTCTTCTACTTTTTCTTGAATGAGACTTTTGCTTGATAATGCCACCGTAGAAAAATCTGGTAGCCTAAAACATGTATGAACAAGTATGAACCTTAATTTCAAAAATTTTACTGATTTTATTATTTTTTTTACAAACAAAAATATAATTATTTGTTACATATAACATATTGTTATGATTTAATTTGTTTCTGTGTCATGTATACATATATTAATGAAATATTTATCTCCCTCAATTCTAGTAATTTCGAAGTCGAAGTGGATCAATATAGTACAAGGATAATTGGCAACGCTGTTTGTTCAAGTTCAGCCTTTCATTTTTAACTTGTGACCCGAGTTCCGAGAGCCAAGCATCAGTGAGTATTTTTTTAAATATATAGTATTTACGCAATTTGTTTTTATTATTACAGTTCTTTAAATTGTTCTGATATAACTTAGGTCAAGTTGTAGACGTACTTTATTAAATTATTTTAGGTTATACGATCTACAGCAAATTTGCTATATTTAGCTTTCAAATTATACAATTAGAACACTCGTGCTTATATAAATTCCGCCTTTACTTCCTGATTCAGTTTATTGCGAACCATTAATCATCGGAGTTGTTTTGTTGTATCTCTACAGACCAAAATCATAAGGTGTGATTAAAATTTTTTTGCTTAATAAAAATGAATTGATCTTAAACAAATATTTCTCTTTAGGGCTTAAGAGTTGAGGATGTTATTGTCCCAAGCCCGTTGCCTCGCTTTACGTCTCACAGTGCCACATCAGGTAAGAATATTTAATTTTATATAAAATATTTCAAATGTCAATTTTCATAGGGATCTAATATGCACTTGAGTACAAAATATTTAAAAGATTATATAAGGGATTTATCTTTTATTTAATTTAATTTAGATAGTTGTGAAAAGGTTTTATCTCTTTTGCGATTATTATAGGATTGTTAATGAGGTCTAAAAAAGTCAGCTGAATTTTATTCTTTTCTTTGTATCTCTACAATACTGACACTTTACCAGTCTAGTCTAAGGCTTAGTCAAAATACTTTACCAGTCTACACTCCAGAGTATTTATTTCTAGCATTTAGTTATGCAGATAATCACCTGGAATTTCTGTTCATACATGAGATCCATTGTTGGAGGATGGGAAAAGAGCATGTTTCCTTTTTTCTCCAAAAATTCCAAGAAAAAATATAGAATGAAGCTTAAAAAGAAATCGTTCACATGTTTTGCCAGATTGTATAACCACAGTAAATCATCTACTGAAGCGATTTTTAAAAATAATAAAATTTATGTAATTACATCTGTTTCTTGAAAAAATGTTAAGGTTATTGATACTCTGCTTGATAAAACATTGATGATAGTGGAAAAGGACTTTATGGAAAATATGAATTAGAAGAGGATATCATTTGATGGAAATGTGTTACAGCAAGAAGCATTTGGTTGGGAGATTTTCACTATGATAAACATCTCATCAAGTCTATTGCTATTGCCATAAGTCCAATTATTTTAAAGTTAGTAGAGGAGTCAGTCAAAGATGTATTCTATCTCTAACTCTCTTCAACTTCTTGGGGGAATATATAATGAAAACATCACTTGACAAATAAAGATTTCTCCTATATTCAGTTACAGGTCCAAAAACATGGACAATGAAATCAAATGACAGGAAAACAATTGACACTTTTGAGATATCCTGGAGGATAATGCTTTGGATCTCATGGACAAAGCATAAAATAAATCACTGAATCCTCAAAGACCTTAACATTATGACAGGAATCTCCTGTCGCAAGTGCCTTCGAATATTGCAAGAAGAAGTAATGATACTCTTGAGAAACTTACAATTTTGGGAAATGTTGAAGTTGGTAGAGGTAGAGGTCTCTCACCCATTCAATGATTATACCAAGTGCAGGAAGTCAGTGGGAGGATATTCTCTTATCCATGAAAGCAGTTCTTTTAGATAGAAGCTGATAGAAAGAGACAGTTGTTCATATAATAAACAATCATAACACTCAGTAATGAGGAAATAACTAGAGACTAGAGCTTTATATAAAAGTTTTATATGGTAAAAACTAATTTGAATTTTCCTACTTTGTTGAAGTTTTTTCCATTGCAAAGATAAAAAACGAGGACAGTTTGTTTTCTTGTCTGGTATGTATATTAGATGGGCTGACAAATTTTAACCATTGTATTATTGGTTTTTTGCATTATTTTCTTGTAAATATTTATGTATTTTCGGTACATTATGTGGTCAATCAACTTTACTGATATATTAACCGCTATAACAATATTATTTTGAGAATGATTTCCGAAGTAAAAAATCGAATTGATAAAATATATACTATTTTGATTTGCAAATTTGGACCTTTTATATGTTTAATTGATTTAATATGCTTAAGTTTGCAAAACAATTAAGTAAATTAATTTTAATTAAAATTTCCTCTTAGGGCTCCTTTTATTGTTAATTATAATAAGTGGCTTCCAAGTATTCGTTAAGTAGTTGCCTTTGAGGAAAGAATGGACAATAGAAAAATAAATTAAACCAAATAATTTTGTGATACTAAATTATTCAATAATTTATTAAAACAGAATCGCTGGGTATATTATATCAGGGATATAGTTGAAAAAAGTACCTGGTTGTTTCTGTAGTATACTTACTTCTGAAATTTTTCAATATTAATTTCTTCTCCACTAAAAATTGTTGGTAAAATATGGTAGACATGACTGTGTTTGTTTTTCAATGTGTCTCCAGTAAGTTGTCATTCCATCGTTTTCATTGTCTTATGGACAGTGCATAAAATAAATCACTGAATCCTCAAAGACCTTAACATTGTGACAGGAATCTCCTGTCGCAAGTGCCTTCGAATATTGCAAGAAGAAGTAATGATACTCTTGAGAAACGTACAATTTTGGGAAATGTTGAAGTTGGTAGAGGTAGAGGTCTCTCACCCATTCAATGATTATACCAAGTGCAGGAAGTCAGTGGGAGGATATTCTCTTATCCATGAAAGCAGTTCTTTTATATAGAAGCTGATAGAAAGAGACAGTTGTTCATATAATAAACAATCATAACACTCAGTAATGAGGAAATAACTAGAGACTACAACTACTACTATCAGTTTACAGTGTTCTCCAACGCCTTCCGACTCCTAACTGCCATTCTTCTCTATTCAACCATAGGTGTGGCCATAGGCCTATGACTAATAACTAGAGACAAAGTTGCTATTTAGAGTGCCAAAAGTCCTCATCTTCAAAGGAATACTAATACAAATTTCCTTCCTGTTTTCTGAGACCAGGTTTTTATATATGCAGATGACTTAGACCTTGTAGCACCTATGACCCATATGTGCAGGGAGATGTTCACTGCACTTTCCAACTCAGTCTAAAATATGGGTCTACTTATCAAATAAAATAAAACTACGCTCATCGTAGGAACAAACTACAGAATTATGAAGGTATGTCCTTTAGAAGTCCTTTAAAAATTTTTTATTGGGGAATATGATGTGGAAATACGAAACACCATACATTAGAAGAGATAAATTGAATGTTAATGCTCCTAAATACAAGTTATTACTATGACACTTTAGATGTCACTATCTAATAAGAAAAACAGAAATATTATTGTTCTGAAGCTATTTTCTGGTGGCATTTTAAATTAATTACTATTTAACTGTTTACTATTAACTATTTACCTATAGAGACCTACTTTAGAGAGAGAGAGAGAGAGAGAGAGAGAGAGAGAGAGAGAGAGAGAGAGAGAGAGAGAGAGAGAGAGACCTACTTTATAAAGAGAGAGAGAGAGACCTACTTTATAGAGAGAGAGAGAGAAAGAGAGAAGTTTATTGTTTTTAAAATGAGATTACATTTATAAAACACAACGTGGTATAGTACAAACAAGGTACAAGATATATTAAAATACTAATTATAAAATTTCCATAATTAAAAAATATATATTAATTAGCAAAAAATTCATCTATACTGCAGTAACACTTAGATAATAAAAACTTCTTGATTGCTCTTTGGAATACATAATACATAATAGAGCAAGTTTCAATGGTTTCAATATTTAGCCTCAGGGATAAATAAATTAAATAACTTTTAAACTGTTGGACCGATTGGGGGGAAATTTCGCATAAATTTAGACGGCAATTCCTCAATGTTCAAATGTATTAATAACATTTTACTTTGTCAATAAAAAAATTAATAAAATTTATAAATTAGTTGCTTTTTTGCAAGTATCTCCGTAAATTATTTATCAATTTTATTTTAAAAAACGGAAAATAGAGATATTTTTAATATTAAAAATGATATAAATATTATTAATGTAAAATAAGGGAAAAAACTTATAGACAAAAAATCAAATTGTGACCATAGATTATTGTTTAAAAAAACGTAAGGTAAAAATACGAGTACTTTTTCACATATTCGTCATCTAGTAACTCCCACCTGTCTTGAAAGCTTCAGAGATCTGCGAAAAAATTTTTCGGCCTTTTTTTTAACCAGACTGGGCCGTCAATGGATTTTACCCAGCCCCATTTTACAGTACTCCACCCATCATATATTTCTCGTTATTCTATAATTCAATAGACACTTAAAACTCATTTTTCACCATCCAAATATATCATCTTATCTATAGTAGTCATTCCATCTTTAATTGAACATTCTAAATATTCTGTTTTTGTCATACTAAGCTTCAAGCGCATGTCTCCACTGTTCTAGTTTTTATTCTAATTTTATTTTAATACAACTAAAATTAGAAATTGAAATTTATAGAATCGTAATAAAGTGGATTCCATAAAAACTTACGCCATGTTCAAATTGTG